TGATAAGAAAAAAAGAGTGCAATCATTTTGTGACGAATTATAAATTTTGTAAAATTACAAAGTCTAAATATACACTATTACAATTACAATGTCCAAAGCAAATACAGATTTACAAATTACAATTTAATTTGAAGCTGAAGGATCGTCTTCAAAGTGAAATGTTAATCTATTAAATTCATCTATCCATTCTTCGCTTCCGACGAAATTGTGTCTTGTAAACGTTGATCGGCACAATCCCAATCCTTGCAATGTGTTTTGGCGTTCCTCAAGTATTCATCCGGTCTTATTGAAGGCTTATTCGGATGAAACAGTGGAGACTAGAATCGAAAAAATATCCATTGCCAATCGAGTTAGGACTGACCAAGTTAATGCTCGTGCCCTCCACCATTGAACTAAATGAAACACTTCTCTACTATCGTCGACTACTAAGCTCTCACTGAGGTACGCTATAAGCTTGTTGAAGTCACCGCCGTTGCCACCACCACCTCTTGATGAAGATCCACTCTCAACTTCTGTTTGAGTCTTCTTCTTCTTCTTCAACCTGAAAACATTCATGAATGAATGTGGGTTTTTATCTTTTTGTTGCGGTTCTTGTTCTCCACAAGCGGTGTTTCTAAACCTATTCTCATAAACACTATAGAGAGAAAATATGTTATCCTTTATTAAAGGATATTGGTCAGAACAATCGATGTCTAAGAACTCACCTAAGTTTTCTAAACCTTCTAATTTTAATCTAGGATAAAAAATAATACCGAAACCATACAACATAGGTAATTGAGACCAATATTTTCTAAACTTCTTTTCCATAGAAGCGATAGGAATTCCTAAAATTGGGTCCTCCCTAAATTCACTAAATAAAATACTAATTCTTAAAAGTTTACCTAAAGCTAAATGTGATGTTGGGTAATTTGTTCCACTAAGTTTTAAAGTAATTTCATGAAACCTACATAAAAATTGATACAAAGTTTCGGCAATTTACCAATCATATGTTGAGAATAGTATCCTAGAAGCATGAGATGTAAAAGGATATTTATTATTTATTTAATAAAATAGTTTATTCATCATTTTATGTGCATATATTTATGAATATTTTATGAATATCAAATAAAATTTCTTGATTATTTATGTAACCTTAAACATGGTATATAAGTGTTGTATACGAGAGGATAATATTTAAGAATAATAATCAAAAGTAATTGTTCATAATGAATTTAATTAAAGTTCAGAATCTTTAATTAAAACATTATTAATACATGTCATTCCCATTTAGAATGGAACGGTGTTATCCGCACTGTTAATATGGCGAGATATTGAATGAGTGTATTTCGCATAATAAGATTATGTGGAACATGGACGCAGACACAATATGAATTTCTAATAATTTCCGTTAAGCATAGAAATTCTAATTGAGTCTACCGATGGTCATATATAGGATGATCTTAATCCTGAGTTCTTAACAAACTCCTATTTATGGATTTATATCTTTTGATTTACTCGGTACGGATTCCGAGACCCTAAATCCTATTCCTTGTATTTTAGAGACATAATGAAATAGGCAGCTGGGAATGTTATTATATGAGATGGAATTCATTCCTTCTTGAGAAAGAAGTAGATAAATAATTCTCTTGAGTGTTGATTCGGTACTTGGATTAGTAAGAGCGCTCTGGTTCATGAATGTGTTTTATGAATCACTATCCATTAGAGAATCAATGGTACTCAAGGATAAAGATGTAATTAGAGAGGTTAACGGATTCCACCTGACTCTAATTATGAATTATTTATGGAGGATTGATCTATATGTAATGACTATATCAAATGGACACTTCGCAGTTTAGAAGTAATTAATGCCTATAATTTAGAGAGTGCAATTCCAAGTTTATAGTGGAGTAACTATTGGAATTAATAGAATTAATAAATTAATTAAAGTGTTTAATTAATTATTAATTTTATTGGAGCTCAGAATTATAGATCCATTAGTCCCC